GGGAGGCCCTGCAGCTCGGCGGCCGCTGCCTGCAGTTCGGCGGCCACGCGGCGAGCCAGGACCGCCGCCCACGGCGCCTCACCCGTGGGGTCCGGCACCGACGCAACGTCCCCAGCAGCGTCGCTGGCGGGCAGTGGCCGCAGCAGCAGTAGCGGCTCCTCGCCGTCCAGCAGGCGCTTTAGCGCCGCAGGGTCCGACAGGTTGACGAGACCCTGCGGGAAGGCGGCCAACGCGCCTGGGTCCAGGGTCAGGCGCGGCGGCGAGACCCGGCTCCGGGGGCCCCGCAGCGCGCGCACTAGGCGCGTGAGCGTCTCCAGGAAGGGGTCTGCCCCGCGCGGCGCCTCGGGCTGCGGGGACGGCCTGTGGGCGGGGGCGGGGTGAGCGCGCGCCAAGCGGGCCCCACCCTGGCCTCAGCTCCTTGCCGGCACCCTGGACCCCTCCCCGCTTCCTGAGAACCCTAGCCTCCCAGATCGTCCTTCCAGCACTCCGAGCCTGCCCCCCACCCCAAGCACCCTAGGCTCCCGGGCCCTCCTTCCCAAGCACTTTGGGCCTCTCCTCCACCCAATACTCTGGACCTCCCTCCCCTGCTTCGGAACCTGAACACTCTGGGCCTCCCCCATACATCCCCTGTACCCCCAATCCCTCCCTCCCTCCCCGAGCACCCCAACCCCCCCAGCCCCTCCTTCCTGAGCACCCAGGGCCTCCCCATCTTCTCCTCACCCGCTCCCCATCCGTTTCCTCCCCCGTGCACTCAGAACCCCCTCCCAGCAACCCTGGGTCTCCCTGCACCCCCCTTTCCCCTCCCCAGGTCCCCTCGTTGGCCTGGCCCCAACCTGGGCCACGGGAAAGGCACCAAGTCCAGTGAGCCCTGTGCGGGTAGTGGCGTGGGCCGGGGCCGAGGCAGCAGCAGCAGGGCCGGGGTCATCCTAGTGAAGCAGCGCGGGTCGGCGCCGAACAGCAACGCCTGCAGCTGGGCCGTGCCCAGGGGAGCACCTGCGGTGGGGATGCTGCTCAGGGGCAGGGTCCTAGGGGCAGCCTACATGTCCCCCACCAGCCCCCGCTGGCCCCTCCGCCGCCTACTGTCTCCAGGCGGCCGCAGGGTCAGTGTCAGCCCGGAGCTTCGCCAGGCATCCTCCGGGTGCTCCACGGCCAGCACCAGGTAGCGGGTGTTCTGGGATGGACAGAGGCCCTGCGGAGATGGGGGCAGCTGGAATGAGTGAGGCACGCCATGCCCAGCCCTATTCTGCCTGCACACAGCCCCCTGCCACAGGGCACCAGACCCTGGTCTGCTGGCCGCCCCTTCACAGTGCCGACCTCGACTGTGGCGCCTCCCGTTAGCACAGCCCTCCACCTCTGTGATTTGTCAGGGCTCTGGAGGACTGCCCCGTGGACTCCCCTTACCTGGGCACCTGGCAGCCCAGCCCCTGTGATGGTGGCCGCAGGGCCCGTCCCAGGGTACAGCACCAGCAGCGCCGGGTCCAGGGGGCCGGCTCCTCCAGGAGGGGGTTCCTGGAACCTCAGCGAGGGCGTGGGCTCCCACGTCACTGGCCAGACAGCAGGAAGGGGGACACCCAAGCCACTGAGGCCCAGACATCCCAGGCCTGACTGCTGGGAGGTGGAGCCCCCATCCCAACCGGGAGAGCTAACCCTGCAGGGACATGGTGGCTGGGATGACCAGCGGTGGGCAGGAGCGCTGCCGGAAGGTGTGGGTTCCATCTTTGTTCCTGGGCCTTTGGGGTTTCCAGATCTGGGGACCTCCTCGAGGGAGGCCCATGAGGGTCCCAGGGGAAGCAGCTCTCTGAAGGTGGTGGTGGCTGTGGGGACAGGACAGCTCACACCCTGGCTGCCAGATGTGTGTGGAGGGCTCTCCCCTGCTGGGTCTGTGGGTTCAGCTTACCCCACCCACATGGCTTTTTTTGTGGACTTGGGGGTAGGGGGGAAGGGGGCATCTTTGCAGGGCTCTGCGGTCTGTCAGCACCCACCTTTTCTGGAAGAAAGCTGCCCGGCTGTGGACCGGCCCCCACGTACCTTCCTCCAGGTGCAGGACCACCAGGTGCTGCCCCCCGGGCTGCCTGAGCCACGCGCCCAGCTGCTGCAGCAGTGCCAGGGCTGCCTGCCCTTCGCCAGGGGCGCAGAGCCCGAAGGTGGCCAGATCGCGGGCACCCCAGCGGGCGCGGTACACGGCTTCCAGGAAGGCCTGCTCGTAGCTGCCCAGGGCTCCCACCACCCGGAAGGGGGCCCCACTCCCATTGCCACCCCCGCCCAGCGTCACCAGGCACAGGGGGTCCCCGGGGCTGTCCGGGAGTGGCCAGGCCCAGTCCTCACTGAAGATCAGGCCCCTGGGGCCCGAGGCTATCTCCTTGGAGAGGGCTGGGGTGCTCAGGGCCTCTTGTCTGGGGGTCCCAGCCCCCAGCGCAGCCCCCAGGGCCGCCAGCACCAGGGCCAGGTGAGGGAGAGGCGGTGAGGCAGGCATGGTGGTGCTGGGGGCTGGGCGGCCGGGCGGCCGGCCTTATATGGGTGCCTCCCCAATGCCTGGGCAGGGGGTGGGCCCTGAACCCTGTCTCCTCGTGGACGTGACCTTGGGGGGCAGCCCTGTGCTCCTGGGAGCCCGCGGGCAGGCCCGGAGGAGGCGTCTTCACAGGGTGCTTTCTGTTCTGTTCCCAGCTATCTTGCCTCTCCCCACGATACTAGACGCGGCCTGCTGACTGATTCGTTCAAGTGACGTCCTTGACTTCTCCCTCCCGAGGACAGAGTGGGTCTGCACAGGGAGGAGGCCGTCAGACCAGGAACAGGTCTGGCTTGGGTGTGGGGAGGGGACGCCTGAGACGGGGCCTGGGTGCAGGGCAGCCCCTGGGGTGCAGAGCTGCAGCCTGGGCCCTAGCCGGGCCCTGAGGTCCTGGGGCAGGTGGGCCTGAACTCAGCTCTGGGTCGCGCAGGCTGAACAGACACGGGTTCCCCTCAGCCTGGAGCCCCCAGACCTGCTCCTGGCCAGTGGCAGGGCTCAGCCACACCCTGCGCTGTCCAACATGCAGGCAGCAGTGGGAGCAGGGACAGCTGGGGCACCCAGTGTCCAGTCAGGGAGCCGCCACCCTGTGCCCTCCACACCCTACACTGTCCCACCCGCATGCACGCAGCAAGGACAGCTGGGGCACCCAGTGTCCAGTCAGGGAGCCGCCGCCCTGTGCCCTCCACACCCTACACTGTCCCACCCGCATGCACGCAGCAAGGACAGCTGGGGCACCCAGTGTCCAGTCAGGGAGCCGCCGCCCTGTGCCCTCCACACCCTACACTGTCCCACCCGCATGCACGCAGCAAGGACAGCTGGGGCACCCAGTGTCCAGTCAGGGAGCCACCACCCTGTGCCCTCCGCACCCCGCAGACACATGGTTCCACTCAGCGCCATAGGGAGACTTTATTTAATGAACCAGAGCAGGCCACGGCGCTGTATAAAAACACCCAACTGCTCTCTGCAGGGAAACGCAGGAACGGAAGCCGGCCTGCAGGAAGGGGCTACCCCTCAGTTGCCTGGCGGAGGGGGAGGGAGGCTGCCAGGGCCGTCGGAGGGGAGAGGGGGCCTCAGCATTGGGGGCATGGGAGTCGGGGGGTGCACTCCAGGATTTGAGGGATGCACCCCAGGAGCAGGAGGGTGGACCCCCGGAGCCTGGGGATGCACCCCCGGAGCCTGAGGGTGAACTCCTGGGGCTGCTGGGTGGACCCCTGGAGCCTGAGGGTGAACCCCCGGAGCCTGAGGGTGGACCCCCGGAGCCTGAGGGTGAACCCCCGGAGCCTGAGGGTGGACCCCCGGAGCCTGAGGGTGGACCCCAGGAGCCTGAGGGTGGACCCCCGGAGCCTGAGGATGAACTCCTGGGCCTGCTGGGTGGACCCCTGGAGCAGGTGGGTGCACCCCAGGGGCCTGGGGGTGAACGGCAGGAGTGGGCGGGTGTACCCCTGGAGGCTGAGGGTGAACTCCAGCAGTCGGTGGGTGCACCCCTGGGGCCTGGGGGTGAACTCCGGCAGATGGGGGAGGGTGGACCCCTGGGGCTGGGGGGTGGACGCCCGGGGCTGGGGGGTGGACCCCTGGTGCTGGCGGGTGGACCCCAGAGGTTGGTGGGTGAACCACCGGGGCGGGGGGGTGGACCCCGGGGGCTGGCGGGGGCAGCTGGGGGGGCCCGGGGGGCCCGGTGGGTGCAGGCCCCGTGGGAGGCATGGGTGGCAGGGGCAGGCCTCCAGGAGGGGGAGGGGGCAAGGCCTCAGGCAGCGGCGGCCGCGGGGGCAGTCCGTTCATCAGGGGCGGTGGGGGCCGCTTCACCCCTGGAGGCCCGGCCGGGAGGCTGGGTGGTGCGGGGGGCTTCTCCATTTTAAAATGGAACTGCAGGAAGAACTGGGGAGAACAACACAGAACAGGGTTCAGCAGGCAGCGCGGCACCAGAGCCCCGTCCCCACGGCCCTGTGTACGGGCCTCTCGGGACAACTCACTTGCTTGGTCTCCCGGTTCCAGTGGGTCCAGAACTTGCCCTCGGCCTTGTCGATCTCCCTGCTGGGCACCTGAGTGGGGGGAAGGGCCTTGAGGACCACGTGGGCCAAGGCTCAGGCAGGCACGCGGGCGGGGGGCCAGGCGAGCTGCCCTCGGAGGCCTGGGGAAGGTCCCAGACAGGAGAAGCCTTGTCACGAGGGGGGTGGGCCTCAGTGTCGGGGTCAAACAGGTGGCTCAGGTGTACCCACCCCCAAGGCCCGTGTTGTGGAGGCTGATCCCTGTAAGCACGCTGCACTGCAGCAGGGCAGATCCGGGTGCTCAGATGGCCTTGGGGTTCACGGGGGCGGGGGGCCAGCAGACCTGCCATGGCTTCCTCCCAGTCTCCCACGCCGTTGAGGCCCTACCTTGAAGGCAATGGTCTCGTAGGGCTCAGCGGCCATCAGCAGGTACTGCCAGCGTCTGTCCGGGGGCTCGATCCTCTGCTCGTAGGCGGACATGAAGCGGTGGCGCGGCATGATGCCCTCGGCAATCTCTGGGTAGTCAATCTGTGGCGATACACCGAGTGGGCAGCACCGTTCCTGGGGCCACTGTGGCACAGGACGGAGCCCAGGAGACCCCGGGGTCAGCAGGAAGGCAGGGCAGAGCCTCACCTGGAAGAGGAGACTCTGCTGGCCCACCTCCGTGTCCCTCTGCTTGGTCACTGCAAGGCAAAGGGGGCTCAGTCTAGGTGGCCCTTCCTCCCCCAGAGCAAAGAAAGCCCTGGGATCGCAGGGCGCCCTGGGGTCGGCCTGGCTCCGCCTGCTGAACCAGGGAGGTGGGAGCTGCCGAGGCCACAGGGAGAGTGCAGGTCGTGGCTGGGCAGCTACCACCCAGGGTCCTGAAGGCTCTGGCTACAGGTGGGACACAAGCCTGCAGCCACTGGGGGCGGCAGAGGGGGAGTCTCCTTCACCCCATCCCAGATCCCCACCCACATCAGCCTCTGCTCGAAGCCCCTCCAGTAAACGCCATCCACCTGGGCGTTCAGCTGTCTGACACCGTGGGCATTGGGGGTGCCCCCACCTCAATGCTCGGGCTAGCACCGGGTTGGGTCACCGGCAGAGGCCCAGCTGGGCAGTTGGCAGAAAGTGCCGGGACAGGCTTGGTGGCATCTCCGGGGGGCCTACCAAGGAGCCCATTCACCACTGGCGCCAGCTGCCACCCCGGACAGACTCACCTTTGTAGCCCGGGCGGCCGATCTTCACAAACTTCTTCACCTCGACCTTGACCTTCTCCGGCGCAGGCTGGGCTGGGGCCTCCTTGGCTTCCTTGGCAGCTCGCCGGGCCCTGCAGGCCGAAGGACGAGGCGCTGCTGGGGCTCCCTGCACTCAGGCCCTCAAGGCTGCAGCCCAGGTGCGGGGAGGTGCCGCCCCACCCACGTGACCCCAGACAAGTTACTGTGCTCATCTGGGAAGTGAGGGGCCAAGACTGAGGGCGGGGGCCCGGGTGCGAAGTGTGGCAGAGGTAAGGGGCGTCTCTCTCTGTTGTCACCTTCCCCACTACGCTGTTACCGGGGGACCTCTTGGTGCTGCCCCTCTGTGTCTCATCACAGACATCTGTCTCGCGAGCAAGCTACGTCAGTGTAGCAGCATGTGAAGAGTACCCGGCCCCGTGTGCTGCCGACCCTCTCCTCACCACGGCGACCCCCACAGCACCGGAAGGCCAGCGCGCTCCCGGGACACGGAGCCTGAGGCCTGGGTACTCACAGGTTGGTCTGATGCTTCTTCCCTTGGGTGTGCGCTAGGTAGCTGCCCTGGGGGAGGAAATACACAATGCAGACAGAGCAGGGCAAGGGAGCGAGCCTCCGGACTCAGCGACTTCCGGTCACCACAGGAGTGGGGGGCGCAGAGACCAAGGAGGGGGTGCCCGCACAGCACCCAGACCCCAGGGCCAGTGCAATGAGAATAAACATGCAGGACATCTGCGAACAGCCCAGGTGACCCAAGCGAGTCCCAGGAGGGCATGTGCAATGTGGCAGGAGACCCAGACGGAGCAGAGACCACCAGAGTCTCGCAGACGGGGCGTCAGCGCTTCGTGGGTGCAGGGTCTGTCTAGGGTGGGGAGGGGGGAGGACTTCTAGAAATGGATGGCGCTGAGGGTCGCCTGCTAATGCCCCTGGATGAGGAGGAGAAAGCGAGCCTGAGGGCTGGCGGAAGGCAGGAGGGAGCGGGAGGCGCACCTCGTTGTTGTGGAGCGTCAGGCAGAGCTTGCACTCGTAGGAGCCCAGGTGGTTCTTCATGAAGTACGGATCCTGGACAGGGACAAGGGGACAGGGCCTGCATCAGACACGGAAGCCCCGGCCAACCCAGGCCTGCCCTGCGGCACCCACGCAAACTGAGTGCCCTTCCACTGTCTGAACTGGCGCTGACGAGTGTGGCCTCTCTCTGCCTGTTGGCGCAACGCCCCCCCGGGGGGAAGACCAGGACCAGAGCCACCACGGCGCGTGGCCTGGCGGGCCGTCTGCAAGGCCGTGTGGCACGCGGTCACCAGGTGCTTGCTGAAATGAAGATTCCGGCTCAGTGGGGTGGGCCTGAGACTCTGCATTCCCCACATGCTCCGGGGGAGGCTGGGGGTGCTCAGCACCCTCCGTGCCCAGGACGCTCCACCACCGACAACAATCGGGCCCCGCGTCAGCAGTGCCAGGGAGAGAGACCCTGGTTTACTGCTAGCTCAGCACAAGTGAAGTAAAACCTTCCTGCTGACTCCTGTTGGGTGGAGCAATCTCAGCCCACAGAGTAACATCCCGGCCCCCATCCCGGGCCCGTTCTATACGCCTCAGGTTAACTGAAAAACAAAGTTCAGGCACCGAACAAGTCTTTCAGACATGGGGCTGACCGCATCCGGCGGCCTCTGCTGCTCCTGGTCAAGCTCCCCACTCGGACAAGGCAGCCGCAGCCCCACAGCTGCTGGAACCCACGAGGTGGGGTTAGCAGAGTCTGGCTGGGGGGCTTAGACGCGCTTGAGAGGCCCCACTCGCTGGCTGCTGCAGAGCCCCGAGAGCGACGGGAACCCTCCAGCGCAGTGCTGCGTCCCACCCGGGGCCCACCTTGTTGATGTCGATGGTCTCCAGGGCCAGCTGCCGCAGGCGCTCCCGGCGGTCCCGGTTGCTCTCCGAGGAGGACGCCACGCCCCCGCTTCCGGTCTTGCCGCCGGGTCGGTGCTGGAAGTCCATGGTGAGGGTGCCCGGGTGTCAGTGGAGCAGGAGAAACCTAGAGAGCAGAGGGGGAGAACTGCAATGTTGCGGAAGGCAACGGTCCCGCCGGTACGCGCCCTCGGCTTGGGGAGGTGGCACAGAGGGAGCCCTATTCGCGGGGAGACCAGGCTGCCACGCTTGTCTCGCAGCCCCACACAACCCCCAACAGGATGGCCCTCCAACCTCTGCCGTCTCTCCCAGGAGGCTGAGGGTCTCCTGTGGGCCAGGCCTCCAGAAACACGGAGGCCAGAATCTGCCTGGAGCGCGAGACACCTACCCAGGCTCGTTAACACGATCTTGGGGTGGAGGGGATCACTCCAGCCAGGGAACGCAGAGGCCCAGAAACCAGAAATGCTGAGCTCAGAGAGCCCCGAGAGATGGGGACGATGAGCCCTGAGGGTCTCATCAACAAGGCTCACCTCCTCCAGGAACCCCTCCCAGACTGTCCAGGCCTGTGGCGTTTGCTCCCTCCTCTGAATTCCCTTTCCGGTCAGTTACACTCACACCTACCACTTAAATTCTATTCCTCTGGCTCAGCAGTCAGTCTTCTCGGAGGCAAGGAAGATGTCTCCTGGGTCCCCCCTGCTGGACACACAGGAGACAGTCGCTGTCTCTGGGCAAGGCAGCTTCCCTGAGTCCCAAGCATTCCCTTCCACAGCCTCGCGGCCACCTCCCCCCCGTGCACCCTGTACTCTTTCTGCCTCAGCTGAAAGCCAAGCGCCAGGCAGCGTTCTCTGACCGCCTGACATGCAGCTCCTGAGTGTTCGACGTCTGCCCCTGGGTTTTAGACACACAACACCTCGTGTCCACTCACGGGGATGGGCCAGGAGCTGGAGTGCAGTCAGCAGAAGCGTGGCCCCCCAAAGATGTCCCTGTACCACTCCCCGGGACCTGTGAATACGGCACCTCCGTGGTAAAAGGGACTTTGTGATGGGATGTTGTGAAGGCTCTTGCAAAGGGGACATGATCCGGGATCACCCGGGGGGCCCAGTGTGATCACAGGGTCCTTGTAAGAGAGAGGCAGGAAGGTCAGGGTCAGAGGAGTAACGGCCCACGCAGAGAGAGACCGGGAGATGCTACCGTGCTACTTTGAAGATGGAGCAGGGGCTGTGAGCCGCGGAACGCGGCGGCCTGTAGAAGCTGGAGAAGGAAGGAAAGAGATTCTCCCACGGAGGCTCCGCAAGGAATCTGGATGCTGCTCAGTGAAGCGGATTTCAGAGAATACATTTGTTTAAGCCCCTGAGTTTGTGGTGAGCTGTTAGGGCAGCCACAGGAGACTCATACACTGACCGGCCCCCTAGACTTCCAAGTCTGGCCCTCCTTCACCCCGGTCAGGCCCCCAGAGCCGCCCGCTCCCATGGTTGAGCCCTGCCCCTGAAGCTGGCGCGCACAAAGTACATGGGTCACGGCTCCCTGTCCCGCGGCGCCCTCGCTCTGCACTCAGTTACCCTGTTCTTATCATGAACAAACAGGAAGCACCGCCGGGTATCTGAGGAGGAAAGATACCCAGTGGAAAACTCTGCGAGACGTACTGTTCACTCTCCTAATCCAACCTCTGCGGAGCGTCTCCGGGGTGCAGAGGAAAGGCTGCAGGCACGGGCTGACAGGCCGGGTTCAAATCTCAGCTCTGACTAGTCACACCTGTGTGACTTTGAGCATGTCACTTAACCACCCGAATCCGTCTCCTCATCTGCAAAATAGGACCCCCGCCACTACCTACCTACGAGCTGGTAATTAAAATAAACGAGGGAACCACCACCATCCTCTTTAACACAAGGAAATCACCGCAGCGAAACACTAACACAGAGTGCCAACTATTAACGAGTCAAAAACGCCCAAACCCAGCCCTCCGGGAAGTAAGGATGCGGTGCCTCAAACTGAAATTCAGTACGAGAACTTGAAGGTGAGAGTGAAGCAAATCACTCACAAAAGGGACGGAAAAAACGACTAAGAGGAAAAGCAAGAACTTAGACACGATTTCTGAGCAAGAACACAAACAAAGCAAAGGACTGTCCAAGAATAGGAGAACGTCATCGAGAAATACGAGGCCCTCGGCAAAGGGATTGTGAAATGTTACAACACCAAGGTCCAAGGGAGACCCTTCCACCTCTACTAGACAGAACAGGAGCCCTCGTGGTTCCATGGTTAAGCGCTCGGCTGCTAACCGAAAGGTCAACAGTTCAAATCCACCAGCTGCTCCTTGGAAGCCCTCTAGGGCAGTTCTACTCTGTCCTATAGGGTCGCTAGGAGTCGGAATCGACTCAACTGCAATGAGTTTGGTTTTTAGACAGAAAGAAAACCAGTCACAAACAAAAGATCCGAAAGCAGAACGGGATCAGCCCTCCCAGGAGCAACCAGTGACCGACGCATTCACAACTCTGGATAAAAGTGTATTTTCAACCTAGAATTTTATACCCAACCAAACATCTAATTTTGGAGACTAAGGGAGAGGGAAAAAAAAAGGCCATTTTCAGGCAAGGACTCAAAAAGCTCACTCTTTCTTCAAAAGCAACCACAAGATGTGTTCTGACAGACTGAAGGAAGAGGAAGATGGTCACACTGAAAACCAAGCCAGCCCAGAAAGCAGTGATGGAAAGCTCTAGGACAATGCCCCCACTGCAAGGCTAGAGAGCAGCCAGCGTAGACTGGAGGAGGAAGACAGAGATCTGGGAGTGAAATCTCAGAGCCAGGGGTGGAAATCAATGAATCAATTTGTTCAAACGCATGGAAAATAAAACTAGTGAGTGTGTGAGATGTTGGTACTTTCGGGGAAGAATTAACAATAGGTACAAAGAAAACCAGGCAAATGGGACTATGAGGAAAATTATCAGCTCTGGGGGGAAAGTGAGTGATACAAGCAAGCAAGCACATCCGCGGACGCTACTTGGTCTAGCAGCAAATGGTATTTTCACTCCTCAAAAACTTGTGATGCAATCGAGTCTGGGGTATGCAACAGAGAAGTGACGATGGGTGGGACAAATAAGCAAGCCCTCACCAACCCTAGGAGGAATCCAGCAGATAATGTCTACAACGGATAAAACAACAACAGAAGCACATATTTACCAAGGTAAAGACCAGAAAAATCGCCTTTAAGAACTGAAAAGAGGCGGCTTTTCGGAGCTGGAATTGGGCAAGAGAAGAGGGATCACAAGTTTTGATAAAAACATTATCATTTCCCTGTTAGCTGCTGTCTTCACAGCGCCCCCACGCACAACGGAACAAATCGCGGCCTGGTCATGCGCCACCCCCGTGATGGGTTGCAGACTGGACTGCAGGATCCACAGGGTTTTCACTGCCTGATTTCAGACGTCGATTGCCAGGCCTTTCTTCCTAGCCCATCCTAGTCTGGAAGCTCCACCGAAACCTTTTCAGCATCCCAGCAACATGAAAACCCCCACTAACAGGCGGACTGGTGTTGCTGCGCACAAGGCCCACTGGCCGGGAACGGAACCTGGGTCTCCTGCATGGAAGGTGAGAACTCTGCCGCTGACCCACCGCTGGCCCACCGCTGGCCATTAGCTCCTTGATCCGAGCAAATACATTTTCCCAGAGCTTCTCCCAGTTGTTCCCTGCTGCCCGAGGTAGCACAGAGCAGCAGTGCCGGGCATCAAGGTCTGACCACTGAGGCAAGTCACGTGACCTGGGGACCACTTATAAAATGGTGATGGCTAATGTTTCCTGGTTTATTTAGGGTGGGTAACACACATCACCTGCACGGCCTTTGTAAAGTCAAATGCAAATTAAAAGGCTTAAATCCCCGTGAAAATGGGGGAAGGAGCTCCCCTCCTCCATGATTTTCTTTAGAATTCACTTTGTTGTCGTCGGTGGCATCGAGTCGATTCCGACTCATAACGACCCCGAGTGACAGAGCAGAACAGCCTCAGAGGGTTTGCTAAGATGGTGCCCTCGCGGCACAGTGGTTAAGAGCTCCGCTGCTAACCAAAAGGTCGGCAGTTCGAATCCACCAGCTGCTCCTTGGAAACCCCGTGGGGCAGTTCTACTCTGTCCTATAGGGTCGCTATGAACCGGAATAGACTCCACGACAAGGGGTTTGGTTTTCAGTCTTTACTGGAGCAGATCGCCAGGTCTTTCTCTCAAAGAGCAGCTGGTGGGTTGGAACCACCAACCTTTCTGTTAGCAGCTGAACAATTAACCGTTGCACCATCAGAATTCATTTTAACTTGTCAGCCGTAAACAGGCGGCCCAGCCCTATCTGGTCCAGACAGATTAGCAAATGAACAATTATGTTGAACGCCTCAGTGCAACGGGACATATCTATTTAGCCACACAAAGGATCAGATTCCCTTCTGCCTGCGCTCTCTCTTCAGTGGATTACCTGTGATGCATGACTTTCTGGCTTAGTATGTATTGAACGATCAAACTTTTCTTTTCTTTCTATCTTCGTGGAGAGGTTTTCGGGGTTGGGCATGCACTCTGTTTTCACTATTTCTCCCCCAATACTTTATTTAATTTAACCCAGAGCCAGTTACCTATGGCACCCCCGTATTACAGGATCTGAGGCTCCACGGGATTCAGGGCTTGTCCCGCGATCAAAGCCAGGCAACTAACGGAAACAGAACAGTGCCCAGAAGAGCCCTCGGTGACACAGAAGCAGCTCACAAAAACTGCAGCCGCGATTACTGCTACCCAGCGGCCCGACCGCAGCGGGTCTTTCTCGGGAGAGAACCGAGGGGACAGAGGGAGTGTCGGGCTGGCCCCCGCCGGGCAGGGCTCACCGCTGAGCTGGGATGTGTCGGCACCGGGGAGACCGCGGGTGCAGAAGGCCCGACTTAGCCGGGCGGAAGCGGGGAACGCGACACGGCCGGCCGCCCGCCCCCCAGCTCGCGCCCCGCAAGCCGCGTGCCCCGCCGCAGGCGCTTCTCTCCCGCATCTGCTCCACTCCAGGGAAGCCGAGCCCCCGATGGCCGCCGCCCTCGCCCCGACCCGCCCGCTACTCACTCGCAACGCACGCCACCACCACTCGGCTCCCACGTCGCAGACCAGCGAAGCACTTCCGGGGCAATCGGCGCAGGGCCGCCAGCGTGCGCATGCTCGACCCGCCCAGAGGCGCGGGCGAGATGCTCGAGCGGCGCGAGGGAAAGGGGACGGGGCTCAGATTACGGGCCGGAAGTCGGAGCGCGCGTGCGCACAACGCTCTCGACGAACTCTCCATTGCCTTCAACTTTCACGGGGTCAGCTCTCGCGAGAAGGGTGGGTTGGTACTCACCGTAAAACGTTATTGTTCCTCTTCGCCTGCTCCTCTCTTTCCGTTAAAGCGCGCCACCAGTCTTTGGGTGGTCCTTGATTCTGTTGTCACCCTGCGTCCAATGTCTTGTGGTGATGTAATCACTGTCCACCGCCCCCGGGACACCAGCGCCACGCGCCGGTTATTGACAAGCTGGGCAGCCCGGCGAAGTGCTCAGGCGCATTGATCTGGCAGCACTTCCGGGCTGCGCGTTGAGACTTTTTTGGCGCCGGCAGGGACGGCGGCCGAGAGCGCGGCGCCCGGAGATCGGCGTTCTCCCCGCCGGCGGCGCCATGCGCTACAACGAGAAGGAACTGCAGGCGCTATCCCGGCAGCCGGCCGAGATGGCGGCCGAGCTGGGCATGCGGGGCCCCAAGAAGGGGAGCGGTGAGCGGGGGCTCAGGGAGCTGGGGCGCGCGGTCTCCGGGTCTCGGGGGTCCGGGTTAACCGGGGGCGCGGGCGCGGGAGTGGCCCCTCGCCGCGCGCCCTAAGCCCGCTCTGCGCCCGCAGTGGTGAAGCGGCGGCTGGTGAAGCTGGTGGTCAATTTCCTCTTCTATTTCCGGACGGACGAGGCCGAGGTAGGGGTGCCGTCCGGACAGAGTGGGGGTCCTGGGAGGGCGGCGGTCTCAGGGGAGAGCGGGACCAGCCCGCCTTTGTTTGGAGTCCTTCGTTTGCCCCTCAAGCTAGGAGCCGGGCGCCGGTCCTGTCACTCTGCTCACCCAGACTCTCCTCCTGGGATCCGCCCCCAAGCTGAGGAGGAAGCCCAGAGCAAGGGGCACCCTGGGGAAGGGTGACTTGCGCCCCCATCCGCTCCTTCGTGTGTCTCCAGCCTATCGGAGCCCTGTTATTGGAACACTGCCGAGTCACCCGGGAAGAGCCCAGCGGCTTCTGCATCAGTGAGTGGGGTTGGTGGCAAGGACACCTGGTCCCCGGCACTGACAAGCAGGGGTCCCCGTCGTCCCCTCCCCAGGCGCCCGAGGCTCCTTCTGTCTCCCCAGCCTGGCGCCACCGCTCCCCAGAGACAAGAGGCCATTGTCCCCGGCAGCTCAAGGTCAGGCTTCTGGGGCCGCACACCTCCTGTCCACCTGCCAAGGCCGTTGCAGGCGGGGCTCCTCCCCAGCGGCCTCGCCCCAGACTTTGCCCTCCCCGTGGGGCCCAGGCTGGACTGTGGCTGATGATAGTGCGGGGATGACGGTGGGGAGGAACCACCTGGCATCCACGCTGCTACCCCGAAGGCCACCAGAACCTTCTCTTTTGCATGAGTTAAGGATTGCTCTCTTGGGATGTCTCGGTCCCCGGCCCTGTGCTGTGGTCCCTCTTCTTGAGGTCCAAGTCTGAGTGGGGAGATGGAGCCCAGGACAGGGTGCCCAGTCCAGTGTGGTGGTGGTGGTGGGGTGAGGCCGGGAGGGCGGCCTGGAGGAGAGGGCTGACTTCCAGACAGGGGAAGGTCCACGAGCAAGGCCGTGAGGTGCGAAAGCTGGGGCCCCAAAATGCTGGGGTCACTGCACGCTGGGACGTGGCCGGTCGGGCTGGAGCCTGGGGAGTGGTGAGGGTGTGGACAGTGGCAGCAGGAAGCCGAGGCCCGTGGCCAGCGGGACAGACAAGGCCGCTCTCTGCAGGCTTCGTGGACACGGAGAGGAAGTACCATTTTGAGTGCTGCAGCGAGGAGCAGTGTCAGGAGTGGATCGAGGCGCTGCGCCGGGCCAGGTGAGGGGGAAGGGGGTCGGGCATCAGCGGGGCGGGGCGTCGGCGGGGTGTGGCATCGACGAGGCGTGGCCTCCCCCAAGGAGACAGGGACCACTCACCGCCGCCATATCCGCAGCTATGAGTTCATGCGGAGGAGCCTCATCTTCTACAGAAACGAGATCCAGAAAATGACGGGCAAGGTGATTGTGGGGCGGGCAGGCGGGCGGGTGGTGAGGGCCTCCTGGGCCCTGGGCTCACTCTGTCCCTGCCCTCGCCCCCTCCCAGGATCCCCTGGAGCAGTTCGGCATCTCCGAGGAGGCCCGGTTCCAGCTAAGCAGCTTGAAGGCATGAGCCCCCAGACTGGCAAGGCCCCTGCTCGGGACAGGACAGCCCTCCCCGCCACCTCTCGCCCCCCCCGAGTGGGCTGGGTTTGTGGTGGGAGGTGTTCTGTCTTCCCCCAAGGCCGGGTGGGGTGCAGGGCTGCCTTTTGGAAGGAACGCCCATGGACTGGCCACCCTTTGGGGCGGCTGCTGCTGTAGGGTGCGGGGGACAAGCGTCCACGTTCCGGCGTCGGGCCGCCCGGCCCCCAGACCCCCCGAGGGGGGCAGGGGTCCCGCCGGCTGAATGTAGTCAGACTGTGAAGCTGTGAAAGGTGTGGGGAGCGCGCCGCCTGCCCCGATGTGAACTCCTGCTGATGGAGAGGCGATGCCGTGGCCACGCCTCTGGGCAGAGCTGGACAGGGCCACCCTCGCCCCTGCGCTCCTGTTGAAATAAATATACCTCTTTTCACTGGGCGGTGGTGACCTGAATGAGGGGAGACTGGAGGATCCGCCCGTCTGTCGGTTTAGGGGCTTGTGGCCGCGTGGTGGGGAGGAGCCCAAAGGCCCTGGGCGGGGAAAGGTCCGGACCCCACGGACCTCTAGCACCCACAGGCCCTGAGGGGGAGGGTATGAACAGTGGTGGGGTAAGGAGAACCCGAAAGTGACCCCTCTCCCCGACGTGCCCTCCCCTAGGATGTGGGCGGGACCTGACTTGGGTCTAACCAATCAATTAAGGGAAAACCAAACCCAAACCAAACGCCTTGCCACCTTATAGGACAGAGAGAGTAGTTTCCAAAGAGCAGCTGGTGGATTTGAACTGCTGAGCTGTTGGTCAGCAGCTGAGCTCTTAACCACCGAGCCACCAGGGCTCCACATAATGGAAAGGGGAAGGATTTTACCGATGTAATTAAGATCTCAAATCAGATGGTTCTGACTCAAGAGTTTATTCTGGGTGGGCCTGGCCTAATCAGGTGAAAGCCCTTAAAAGTGGGACTCGGCTCCCCCTCCCCACCCCGCCCAGCATCACAGCAGCTGCTGCTCTCAAAGTGCTGCCAGCCACAGCCTGCCTGGGGACGGTCACCCCACTTGCCTACCCCCCGCCACGTGACAGAAGGAACACGGCCGCGGGACCCAGTTGAGTGGAAACAAGTATCTTTATTGCAGCGTCTAGAGGTGGCGATGCAGAGTGCAGGGAGGCCGGCACCCGCAGCGGGGCGGCCAGCCCAGGGGCTCGATCGGACAGACTGAACACAGAGCAAAGCCACGTTTCCATCAGTCACGGGAAGGTCGGGCGTGAGGAAGGCAGCAAAGGGAAGAAGCAGTGTCCCTACGGAGGCCCGAGCAGAGGGGCGGCCCACGGCGCAGATAAAGGTGCAGCAACCTTAAATGGGTCACGATTCACGACTGGGCTGCGGCCAAGGTGAGGCAGGCTCCTGCGGCGGGCGCCCACCGCGGCTCCAGCACAGCGTCTTGTGAGGGCCACACGGCCAAGGTCGCACGGGCCTTTGGGAGTTTGACTAATCGATTCCTGAGCAAAAGCAACTTCGCAACCAACTCGTTCCCCTGAAGTTGCCCACGAGCCAACAGCAGCACCGAGTTCCGACCCACAGCTGCTGGAGGAAGCCAGGGCGAGGCCTCCACCCGCTACCCTTCCCCGGCACCACCTTCCAGCCGCGCCCGGCGCTTGCCAAGGGGAACAGACATCTGGGTGGCATTAGTTGCATCCGGGAGAAGTATCTAGCGTCATGTGCAGCCCCGGGTGGCGCACGCCATGGCTGAGGGGTGTGCTGTCACGCACAGGTCCCTGGCGGGGCGAGACTGACCCGCGTAAGCTCACAGGTGCCTACCGTGTGGGCCTCCCAATACTCAAGTATCTGTGTCCAGGCTGGTCACATAAGAATAGACTGGCACTTCAGGGGCACCCCACACCCTGCCTGGCCACGTGCCCTCGGGTGGGTGGAATGTGGCCTTCCTTGGATAGCCTGGACAGTTTTTTTTAGCCTGGGGCCTCGCACTGCTGGGACCTCTCTGCAGGGGGGAGAGGCAGGCGCCTCTGTTCCCAAACAACACGGGGACCTCGCGGAGAGCCGAGCAAGGTGGCACCGAGGACTGGAGCAGCGAGGCAGCACCCACGAGCCGAGCACCAACGCGAGGAGGGGGAGATTGAACAAGGACGGCCGGGTTTCAAAACCAGGTCGAGCACCATCTTCATATCCCAATGACTATTGCTGGGGGGTGGGGGTCAGAGGCCGAGGCAGCTGTGGGTGTCGGGATGGGAGGGGGCGCATCACCACGGAGCACCTGCCCCGCCCCACCCCAGCGAATCGGGACCAGGGGTGGAAAGCCTTCCCCACCATCCAGGGCGGGTCCTGTCTGCAGTGCAGTTGAGCAGGTGGGCGGGAGGGAGCACAAGGCTGCTCCACGTACAATTGGAACCCAAGGCCTGAGCCCCACCTTCAAGAGGAAGGTGCCCCGGGGCTCCTCGAGAACACTGCCCTGGAGCAAGCAAGCGCTAAGGATGACAAGGTGCTCCCTGCCCCCCAGGCCATGTGCCGGGCCACCCCATCTGTCCACCCGCCTCTGGATGACCATGGTAGGGAGCTAACAAGCAGCAAGGACGAGGTGCTCCCTGTCCCCCAGGCCATGTGCTGGGCCGCCCCATCCAGCCACTCGCCTCCTGATGTTCAGGGTCAGGGGCGCCCTGCTCCCCGGGCCCACCCTGTCTGTCCACCTGGCACCCGGCCTCTTGCTGATGGGGTCTAGGGTTTCGGCCACCACCTGCCGGGGACATTGGTTTCTAGACAGCTCAGACACTGCTAGGAGGGTTCCAAAGGACCAAAGAACCTCGCTGATGGCTCAGGAAGCACCCGGGACAGTCCTGCCCTCCGAGTCTGCACCAACATGTCCACTCAAGCACCAACGAGACAAGGCTGACTACGGGTGGGAGCGTGGGGGGAGGCCGGGGCCTGGCTGGGACAGCGTCTAGGGCAGCCGGGGCTCCACCCGTCTCGTGTGGACACGGGGCCTCTGGTCTGTGTGCTCCTGTGCGGGCGGTGACCGCGGTCTGGGCCCCAGGCCGGCCCAGCCACTGCCATCTGTGCACTCGAGTAAATAAGAAGGTTCGTTTCTTCCCCTCACCTGAGTTCTTCCTTTTTTTTTAAAGTTTACTGTGCATTATACAATAAAAATAAATGAAATTGAGTCTATGAAATTTATAAACTTTCATCCCATCTCTATAAAATACTGTCACGGATCAACGTGACTCTCTTCTGTACAAACACCAGGCCCACGCGGCCACCCTGCCCTGCGTCCTTAGCAGCGCACCGCCAGCTCCCCGCGCGCCCAGCAGCGTGAGCAGAACAAAAGCTAAGGGGTACAAAAGTAAATGCACTTGTTACAAAGGCCAACCAAGCTGGGGAGCGCGCAGCCGACCTCCCCAACAGCCGTCCCTCGGAGCAGGCTCCGGGCTGTCGTCCCACCTCGCCAGGCAGGACACGGCCTGGCCGCCCCGCGCCCCGGCGGCCTGTCCACACGCCAAAGGCAGTGAGCCTCGGCCGCGAGGGCAGCAGTCTCGTCGGGCAGCGTTCACAGTGACGGGACGGGGAGGCTGCGAGGCGCGGGGCCCAAGGACCAGCTGGGTCTGACACTCGGGCAAGGCCGTTCTCGGGAAGGGAGGCCTCTCTAAGGAAGGGACGATACACACCAGGGCCCCCTCTGCGTGCGACAGCTCGGCAGGGGAGGCGCAGCTGGCGTGTCGGGAGCGGACGTGAGCGGGTCGGCCTCCAGAGTCAGCACCAGGAGAGCGGGAGGCGGCGCAGCCTGCCGACGACGAGATAGCACCGAGCCAGGCGGGCGGCGCCGCGACGGGCGGGCGGGCGGTCCTTCCATAGGTGTCTCTATAGATATCTTCTTATATATAGACATTTCTATTTCCGAGCGAGTTGCCTTGGACGACTTAGATGGAATAAAATAGGTCCGAGTTGCTTTTACTTTTTAAAAACCGATAAATACTTTATCTAGAACTATCAACGCGCACGCGGGAGCCGCTCCCGGGCCTGGCGGCGCACGGCGGCTTCACAGTAGCTTCTCCGTCCTGTCGCCTCCGCGGTCCAGTGGTGGCCCTGCGGCCGCAAGCACTGGGGGCAGCACACGCGTTGGTCCACGCCGTCCTTGCATAGTCGTGCGGCTGAGGTAGAAGTCCTAGTTACCTGCGGGCCGGCAGCGGGAGAGAGCAGCACAAGTCAGCAGCTGCCCCGGGCCCCCAGACCGCAGCCGGCGGGGTCAGCGTCTACGGAAACCCCCAGCCAGCACTGCGTGCACGGCCCCCCCCCGCTCGTCACCGTGCCGGGCGGGAGCCCAGGGGCCTGGTCCGGACCGGGTGCCTGCCATCTGAGGGTCGGACTAAGGCCGACAAGTCCCCGTGCCTAGCGCGCAGGTGGGCACGCTCCAGAACCACCACCCGGGAGCAGAAGTGGGTGTGAGAGGCGCTGGGCCCGGGCCTCGCCCACCCCTGGCCCCAGCCCATCGCTGCTCTCAGGGTCTGCGGGCGGCGGCCACACCGATGAGCTGTAACTGAGTGGGACAGAGACCAGGAGGCCCCGCAGGGGGCCGTCCAGCTTGTGGGGGCCCGGGATGGTGACATGGAGATGCACGAGAGCCCCTCAGCAGGCAGAATGAAGCCCTGTGCCGGCCCAGCACATCTGTGCCCACCTGTGGGTGTGGGACAGCAAAAGCCACGCGTGGCCCATGACCAGCAAGGTCAGGAAGAATGAGCCGGGAGAAGCGCTGGGGACGGCCTGGTGTTCACCGAGGAGCAGGCACTGGAGGGCGGGGGGAATCACCGCCCTGGTTCTCAGGGGGAGGAGGAGATGCCCGGGGCTGCAATGAAAGTGTCGTTGTGTCTGTGGCTTCTGCTTCAGAGTGACTCAGGAACATGCCCCCGCCACCTGCCCACAGACTCACTCAGACACACACACAGACACATACACTCACACACACACGCACAGATACACTCAGACACAAAGACCCATACACACACTCAGACACACAGACCTGTACACAACACAAGACACTTAGACACACACACTCACATACTTGCAGATACACACACTTAGACACAAACGCACCCAGGGACACACGTGCACACACACAAGCATGCACACACAGACATGCACACACCCACACACAGACATGCACACACACACAGAGACATGCAGACACACAGACACATGCACACACACAGAGACATGCAAACACACAGGCACACATTCACACACAGACATGCACACACACAGACATTCACAGACACGTGCTCACACAGGCACACATTCACACACAGACATGCACACACCCACACACAGACATGCACACACGACCAGTGCACTGACCGGAGAGGTGAGTGGACAAGGTAACGTGAGCAGTGGCAGTTATCTGCAGCGTTCCCAGGCCTGCCATCCTCCCGCAGGTGTCCC